AGTGTCCCTCTGTCCACTCCCATATCTGACATATTTGTGGAATTTAGAACAGAGTTTGCATCTTCATCTTTTCAACATCTACCTTCACTTTGCTGCGCACTCGTAGAATATTGAGGGTTAGAGGTTAAGACTAAGAAATTCAGAGATTGAACGCACATGAATGAGTTGATAAGTTGCACTCGTAGGGCCGCTAAGGCGCACCCTAGTCAAACACTGGAGTACTTTGGAGAGAACAAGCTCAAACCAGAACAACTGATTTCGTCTATGAAAATCAGCTTAGAGTGTATAGTGTGTTTGTGAATGGCACTAATCCACGGCCCGATTTTCGATTCGAGAGTTTTCAGTTGATCCATGTACACAAGAGCAGGCATCCGGTGTAGGCTCTGCGCAACTAACTCGTTTTTACTTCAACAAACAGATGAAACTGTGTGAAGAGTTCGTCTATTTTGGAGCTGGCGGGAATCGAAATAACTTCCTCACATTGGAGGAATGTCAGGCGCAATGTCCAGGTTGTGATATGCACATCGAATTGGCTAATGCACTTCTTGGTTTGCTCGGATGGTGCTGGTTCTGTCGGACGATTCGGGGATTCGCTATGGATACACTATTCTAATTACTTCTCAGAGACCTTTTATGGAAAGCATTTCTCCTCTGATAGCCGAACATTACCTTGACCTCACTATCTTGCCAAGGCTTCAAAAGTAGTTAAAGGTAAAGGGTTTTTAGATGATAGAATGGAAACTGCTTACTACGCATTAGACAACTTTCGAATTTCTTGCTTAATAATATCATGCAATTGCAAGTTCGCACCACACAGAAATCCAAATAAAGCGCAATCAATTTCAAACGAACTCCCGGTGTGCCTGAAATCACTGAAATTCTCCTTGCGTACTGTGCAGTTCACAAAATTTATAGAGCCATAAAAGGCTTAAATGACATGCCGACTTCGAGCAGTGAACGAATTTGTCGAATTAGCTCATACTAACCGAAAGACCTCTCTTTTATGGAAATTTCGAAACCTAACTCGAGTGCTAAACAGTTTTCACATTATTTGATATGCTTAAGGGTACTATAAATGTTATTCCTTTCAGTCCCTCATTTAAAAACACCGAGGTTTTGTGAAGTCAGTCTCACATCATGTAAGAAAAGCCCAAGCAAAATTAGTTGTCTAAGGAGGCTTGGTCTGAATCGACATTTTCACTTATCCACTCGGCATTACATTACTGTTTCGGCTATTAGAGAAGAATCGTGACAAACTTCTTCTTTTACGATTTCTCAATCTTTTTCGGTTCCTATCACCAACTGCATGATTTTCTTACTAACTGCTTTGGCTTCTAGTAGTTTATTTTCATGGTGGAGGTGAACAGCCCATTGACACACTTAAGATCTAATGACGATTCTTTAGAATCACCAAATCCCTGTGCAGTTTCCACTGGATCATCTGTCCTGATCCCTTGCACACCCGGAGTGAACACATGTGGAGCCGGGAACTTCTGCCATGTTGGCGCCACACCACAAACGACGGCATGCTGTCCTAAACCAGGTTTGTACGAATGGAACGCAGGTTAAGTAGACCTTGAAGTAAGATGGAATACTTCTACTTTAGCTCCGATCGATCGATGCCAACAACCGCTAAACCTCGGAGTTGGTAACGCAAACCTTCAGCGGTGAGTATAATAGATGGATGTACAAATGAATCAACACACGTTGCTTAGATACTGCTCTTGCAAGGACTGAACCGTGTTAGTCACGATATGCGCAATCCCCAAAATAAAATACTTCTTCCTCGAGAATAGAGCGTGTTAGTAGATCTCATTTGAAAGTACTTTCCTACTTGTGTGTAAATTTCAAACTAGCGACGCTTAGTTGAGTACTAGGTTAAATAGTCAATCCCCTATTTGCTGTAGGACTATAAACGATGAAGAAAAAAATGAAATGGGTTCTCCTCAAAAATTCGCCTTTTGTCATTTCTACGAGTAATGAAAATTTTAAATTTACAAACAGGGCGTTTCTTTAATAAATGTGCAAAAAATACTTTTATGCATAGTTCCAAAATACATAGTCATGTATGCCGTTTTCTTCCTTTCTCTTCGTAACCAAATTAGTTTTGCTGATTTTCTCTGCATCGCATAATAAATACATTTTCGTCGAGACGCTGCTTTTGGGATGTTCACTTCATAAATCCACGAATTAAACTTCCTCTGACCATAGTTTTGTCCTTAAAGATTGAATGAGACATGTCTCATTTGGTGCAATTTGTC